GCATTTCCTAACATAGCACTTCTAATTTCCATGATTGAACGCCTGTGTTAAAATTGACCTAATGTCGGAGATTGAACTGTCTAGGAGGCACATACATAATTCTCTACGTATACATAGCTGGCAGCCCATGGTGCGATCTAATCAACATAAAGTGGGTATCTGAAATGCGACGAAAATCACTTCCAAACTAACAGTATCCTTTAATAATCGGCCGTTACTTGCAAGCCCTCTGAAAGCTTTCCTATCTATGAGATAGCGAGAGGGGCTGAGATACCGGAGGAGTAGTCTCATGTGTCGTTAGGCACGCTCTATCAGCGCGTGCATTTGCGTGCTTGCCTTTACCGGCTTTACAGGAATGTGCGGAGAATTAGCGGGGAAAGAGTGGAGAAAGAAAGACTGGTCCTCGGTGTCCATAATTGGATTACGTCGTTGCGTGACTCAGTGACGTCGGCTGTTCCGTGGGACGCATCGCAGCAATGTGGGGCATGGAAGCCGGCTGTGAAACAGACGTGACAGAAACACTGTGGTGTCACATAAGTGTGATGGAGTTGTCTGTCAAGAAGCTCGTGTGTGCGGGTGTTGGACTTGCATGATGGTTGTCAGTGTTGTGGGTGGGTTGTGGTGTTGTGGTGTGGGTTGGTGTGCTGTGGTGTGTGTGCTGTGTGTGTGGTGGTGTGTGTGGTGTGGTGTGTGTTGTTGCCGGTGCGGTTTGTTGGTTGTTGGTGTGTGTGCCGTGTGTTTGTGGTGTGTTGTGTGCTGTGGTGGTGTGTGTGTGGGTGGGTGCGTTGCGGTGTTTGTGTGTGTGTGTGTTTGTGGCTGTGTGCAATGTGCCTTGGTCTAGACTCTAGCACCTATATTGACCCATCCGTCCAGCGCCAATCCCGAGCCCCCCGGGGAAAAAAAAAACTCCCAACCGACTCACCCCTAGACATCTGACCTAACCTAACACTGCTTCCAGACCCGGTTGGCCGGACCTCCCGACCTCGCCACCTCTCATACCTCCTGAACCCTTACGCCATCGACCTGACCCCTGCCCCCGACCCCCTGACCTCCCAACCCCCGCCCCCAGCTCCAAACCCCTACGATCTACTCCTTGACTCTCCCGACTCGCCCTGACTCTGACGCCCCTACCTCCCGATCTCCTGACTCCTAATCCCTATACCTCCCCAACCCCTTGACGCTTACTTCCCTACACATCGTCTAACAAGGAATTGCTCCGACCTGGTGATGGAGGATAAAAAGATCCCGCGCCACCGCTGCATACCTATGCTAGACGGTAGGCGACGTGACTAACTATCATAGAGCGAACGATTGAGTACATTCTATAAATTTCGAGCTATATAGACGACATGTCTTAGCCTTAATCTCTGTGAATTGAGTCCTATTGAACGCGAGTTAGTCTAATTAAGTAGGCAATTATGCACATGCCGCTATGACCGTGAAAACAAACGTCACGATTCATTTTATCCTCCAAAAATGGAAAAGGGCGGGTCATTTTATGCCATCAATCACAGGTCGAGCAATCCTCTGTTAGACGGCAATGTCCTGACCTTCCAACCTCAGACCACACCCAGCCTCCCAACCTCGACACGACCCAAGACTACCCAACCTTGACTCCCACCAAGCCTCCCAACCCCTGGTCGCCCCCTCAGCCTCTCAACCCCTCGCCCGCCCACCCTCCTCCCTAGCCCTGGCCAACCCACCCCCACCTCCTCACCTCTCAACCCTCGTACCGTCGAGCCTCCCCAGCCTCCGATCCCCTTGCCCCCTCAGCCTCCCAACCCCTGCCCCCAGCCTCCCAACCCCTGGCCCTACCACTCGACCTGACCCTCCCCCCCCGCCTGACCGTCCTGACGCTTCTGACGATCTGATCGTTGCACGAGAGACCACAAACCGAGCTGTCAGAGATAACGTCGAGCGGCGCATGGCGAATCTCAAGTACCGTCCGTCATCGTTGACGAGCAATCCGCTGGCTCATGATCAAGGTCTTCTTCGTGCTCGGTCGTCTTCTTCATCGTCTTTGGCGTCTTCTTCGCGTAGGCGCGCCGCCGGGCATGACGAGCGGCGCGCGTAGGGTGTGCCCCACGCTCTGGGTGGAGCG